GAATAAGATTACTGGGAATGTTGTATTTTGTGTTTGGTTGGTTTAGCAGGAATGTAAAATTACCGTGTTTGGTTAAAGAAATAAAAGATTATTGGAATATATATTTGACCAAATTGTCCTTATTATATATTTGTATAATAATACAAATTGTAAAATATTTATATATTTTCTTTAAAAAATTAAATTCATAATATTTATATAATTTTTTACAAAATTAAAAATATAAAAAAGGTTTAATGAAAGGGTAAATTTTTTTTAACCCCTGAACTTCATATAAAATTTTAATTATAGATTTTTTTGTAAATCTAAAATAATTTAAGGATAAATTTTTAATTTAACCTTCGTAGAATTTTTATTATTCAATGACAGAAGAATGATATTTTTGAAAAAAAAAATAAAAAAATTAAGGGCATTTTAGTTCAAAACGCCGGTAATGTTACAATACCTAAGGGAAGAGAGGTAATGACATTCCCGGTAATATACCACAAAAATTCTACTATTGGTAATAAAACATTACCTGGAATAAGATTCCCGACCAACCAAACATGGGAATGTGGGATTCCCATCCCATGGGAATTCCACATTCCTTGAACCAAACACCCCTAAAAGGATTCTTATCCTTTATAGGAAGGCATATTGAACTAAGTTTTGCTTCTTTGTCTGAATGTACATATGAACAATCTCTGATGAGCTAATTGGTGCTGGATATTTTGGATTTGCTATGGAAAAAAGGAAATGGTTGTGGCAGAGGAGGCCTTCCGAGAGAAGTCCCGGAGAGACTGAGAGTTCCAGATCATTGTCATCACAGTCCGAGGGATACTCCGATGATCAGGTAGCTCTTTGTGTGTGAATTAACTGTTGTTGGTTAAATGCTAATGTGAAATTCTGGAGATTTTTTGTTTGTATCATTCATTCATTCATGTGTGTATATATATATATATATATATATATAACTTTCAATCTCTGTTTCAACGATTCTTTCTATCGCAAGGCTTGGATAGTTGACAAATGCAATGCCTGGAGTGAACACTATTGCATTATCTTATCCTTTTCCAAGATTTCTTTTTCATATTATTAGTCAGCTGTCAGAATATGCAAGTTCAAGCATCGATGTTACCCAATTCTTCATTTTCCTTCAAGCATCAACGCTCTTCAATATTCTTTTGAGATTTTCTTCTATGTTGCTCGTGAGCAACCAAAACCTATGTTATTTTTTCTTGTTTTATTTCTATGGTTGAGTTAAATTGTGCCTGAGTTTTCAGTTCAGCTAGTCATTTTTCTGATTATTTGATTCAGAGTTCAGTCTCTTTCTTCCCAGTTTAAGATTGATTTTCATCTCGCTAATCGTTGAAGCAGGATCCTTCCAAGGTGCCTTCACCACCGAATAATAACACACAATCGCCTGAAGTGTCATCGAAGGCTTCACCCAATTCCGAAGAAACTACTGATAGCGTTAAGATCTTGACTGGGAAATTATCAGCTGCACTAGTTAATATTAGTGCCAAAGAGGAATTGGTGAAGCTGCATTCAAAAGTTGCAGAAGAAGCTATCGCGGCTAAGTAATCATGTTCTAAGATGATTTATTCATTTTTCACTTTCATTTTTGTTGTGTTGGTGGTCGTCTACTTTATATCTATGTTACTTGAACTAAATAATGAGTGCTGGATACATATCAGTGTCTTCACGGGAATGATGAATCTCAACAACATAGCTTACTATGGTCTACTTGGTTTTGAATTTTAGGTTGGGAAACTGTGGAAAATGAAGTAGTGGTGTTGAGGCAAAAACACAAGGATGCAGTTCAGCAAAACTCGGCATTAGAAGATCGTGTGAACCATCTTGATGGAGCTCTCAAGGAATGTGTAAGGAAGCTAAGACAAGCAAGAGAGGAGCAGGAGGAAAAGGTCCTTGAAGCCACTGCGAAAGCTGCCCGGTATTGGGAAACCACCAAATCCAAACTCGAAAGCCAGTTGCTTGAGCTCCAAGCTAAAGCTGAAGCTGTTGATTCTGAGCCCCCTCCAGAGTTCAATCGTGACCTTTGGCGAAAGATTGAAGCTTTGGAGAAGAAAAATGCAGACCTCAAGCTTGAGCTCTCATCTCAATTGGAGGAGATGAAAATCAGAACAATTGAAAGGGACTTGAGCACCCAAGCAACTGAAACAGCTAGCAAACAAAACTTGGAAAGTATTAAGAAGGTAGCAAAGCTGAGGCCGAGTGTCGAAGACTCAAGACAATAGCTGATAAATCTCTGGACGCTTCCTCAATGTATGCCGAATCCCTTACTGATAGTCAATCAGACAGCGGAGAACGAGTTAATCTCGTTTAGATCAGTACTCACAAGATAGCCGGCTTGGAGGCAAACAAAGAACCTAGTTGTTCTGATTCATGTGCATCAGCCTTAATTGCAGAACTTGATCAATTCAAAAATAAAAAGGTCATCAACCGAAACCTCCCGGGTTCTACCATTGGGATTGATCACATGGATGATTTTCTCGAGATGGAACGACTTGCTGCATTGTTTGAAACCATGAGTGAAAACCCTTGTCTTGAACCTAAAGCTATAGCAAAACAATCTAACAAAGATGGTGATATCTTGATGAATCTTGAAGCCATGACTCATCGAACAGCGGAACTCGAAGAGAAGTTGGAGAAGATAGAAGTTGAGAAGGCCGAACTAGAAATTGCACTTGCCAAAAGCCAGGAATGTCTAGAAGCATCGGAGCTGCAAATGAGGGACAGAGAAACGAAATTGAGGGACTTGCAAAGGGTGTTTTACAATGCAAATGATGCAAAGCAACAACTCGAGTCTCAACTCAGGAACATGAAAGCAGATGTAGAGACGGTGTTCTCAAAAATTAATTCATTAGAAAATGAAATCAAAAAGGAAAGGGCTTTGTCAGCAGAGTTTTCAGTTAATGCAAATGAATCAAAGATCTTGGAGTCTCAACTCATTAGCATCGAAGCAGATGCTCAAACAATGTCTGCAAAGATTGATTTATTAGAAACAGAAGTTACAAAGGAAAGAGCACTGTCAGCACAAATTACAGTCAAGTGTCAAGAACTGGAAGAAGAGACGTCAAGGAAGAAACAGGGAGCTGAGCTACAGCAAAACCTTAACTCGAACGGTGAAATGAAGATAAAACAGGTAACTCTTCTGTCTTCTCATTAATTATCGAATTACAATATAGTTTTAGAAGCATGTGATGCTTTATTTGATAATCACACGACGCCATGGCAGGATGATTTAGCTACTGCGGCTGGAAAACTTGTGGAGTGTCAAAAAACAATAGCATCTTTAGGAAAGCAACTGAAATCTCTTGCAATACTTGAAGACTTCTTAATCGACAACATGAGCATACCCGAGTTCCCTATGGTTGGATCATCGATTCCTAAAGCTGTTGGAGAGCCTTGGAATTTACGTTCCAATGAAAAATCATTGGCCAAAATCGATCCAGAGTCTCCAAGAGCTAGTGCTGATAAGGACAACGGAAACACACCACCATCTTCATCCTCGTCTTCATCGATTGTGTCATCGAATCATGTCAGTTCCGAGAAGAACAGAAATGGGTTTGCTAAATTTTTCACTCGGTGTAAGAACGGGATACAACTAGAAATTTAAGGCGATTTCAAGTTTCCTGATAATATTCGGACATGTTAGCTTGAAAAGAATCAAAATAGGTCTGGGGGAACGGTCAAACAGTAGTTGTAGAATTAGAAACTTCCACAAACGAGATTAACAATGTAAACGTTTTTGTTGCATACATTTCTAAACTCTGACCGACTTCCTGAAACTCATAAGTAACAGGATTTGAAAATATTAATAAAAAAAATGGCGTTGGGGTGAGAGAGGCTCGAACTCTTGACCTCAGGATAACTCAGAAGCTATGAGACCTACGCGCTATCAAACTAACATACACAATTTAAACAAAAGAAATGTTGAAATACTTTTAAGTAAAAGTATTATTAATTCTAAGGAAATAAATTTGGTTGAATTCCAATTTTAAAATTAAATTTCAATTCTAGAAAAAAATAAATTTTTCAAAGAAATTTAATTTTTTTTATGTTAAACTGGATTCATATACTTTCAACTTTAGTTATATGTGCTTCAGTTTAAATTAAAAAGTTATATATAGTAAAAATAAGAAAATTAAATTTATGAAATTGATTAAATTAAACATTATAACTATAGTAATGACCCTCCAAAAATTTTGGATTTACTTAACTATTTTTGTTAAGTAATTAATGTTAAACAAATTATGTTTTTATTTCTTTTAAATTTTTAGATCCAATTGTTTTTATATGTTTTAAATTTTAAAATTGAATAAATTAAATCGTAATCCCCATTTTTATAGTACAATTAATTTTTAGAATAAAATAAATCAAACTTTAGAGGTATATATGAGGGGGATTAGTCATTGTCTGGAATATTGCGTCTCCTAATCCACATGGATAGTGTGAAGCTTTTAAAGGAGGGTTTTTTTTTGGAAGGTGGGAAGGGGAAGACCTGCCATTGCCAATAGTCCTTTTTTTACTGATTCGTTCTAATTCTATAAGCTAACATGCAACGCCGCTCCTGGATAATGGCGATAAGGTAGCCGATAGGGTGACCAATTTGATTTTGCCTCTGCAATTTCAGCTAGATCGATACGATCTTCTCCTGCAAAGTGCAAAACTTGTTGTCCTACTGGCCTTGAACTCCAGTTCGATGCAACAAGATGATCATGCTCCTATTTACCCTACTCGTTGCGTGATTATAATATTTGATCCAACTCGTTTGATGCCGCTGCTTAGGATTGACTCTGAGACCATCCGAGTTGGCAAGAATCGACCTCCCTGCCCCCACAAAACACCAAAGACAGACCATCAAAGCATGTGGATACCCGAATGCCACGTGTACGAGAACCATGTCCACGTTTTCCCGCGTGGCATTCCATGGGAGGCATGTCAAGATCGCGCGCAACACCAACCTCTTATCCTACAAAATCCCTTTTGTATTCGCTTACACTTCTCTCTTTCTTCCTCCCGCGTCCCCTACACGGCATTTTTGAAACGCCATGACCGCCATAGCTACTGCTGGTGCTTTTTCGTTGCCAATCTCTCTATGCAGATCATGCAAGGCTTCTAAAAAGGTACCTTTTTTATGCTTCTTTATGGGATTAGCTTACCTGGGTCGTCCTTCAATTTTTAAGGGGAAAAAATAGCTTTCACAGTGCTTGACTTGTCACTGTTTGGTGGCCGTGAAGTTAAAAAGTTTGGCTTTTGATTTATTTTTAATCTATAAGTAACTGTGATAATCCTTATTCTAAATTTTCTTAAACTTATGTGATCCTTACGTATGTTGCATTTTGTATGAGTTTATATGGTCATTTTACTTGCATTCATTAGTGGAAAAGAAACTTATGCATGCTAAGCATATGTGTAATATTCTGTTTAATATCTTTGGACATTCTTTAACTTAATAGTTCAAATGATTTTGTTGATCTGTTTTTTTTTTCAACTTTGTAAAACATTGTTCATTGTTTTGTTGTCCTGCTTGAGTAATTTAGGGTTACTGCTAAATTAAGGTCAGTTTATGCATGGTTTATATTTCGGCATTGGTGCAATTTCAGGGAGTTAAAGGAGGGTTTAGGGTGTTTGCTGTGTTTGGGGAGGAGAATAGCTTGGGGCCAAGGGATAAGAAGAGCTCCTGGGGCACGCTGTTCGATGTAGAGGATCCAAGGTCTAAAGTCCCACAATGTAAAGGGAAGTTCTTAGATGTATATCAGGCATTGGAATTGGCTAAATATGATATTCAATACTGTGATTGGCGGGCTCGGCAAGATTTGCTTACAATCATGCTTCTTCATGAGAAGGTTTTCTTCAATCTCAACCCTATATTCTTCTTGCAGATCACTTCGTGTTTTGAACTTTTGGTTTTGTTTTTAGTTGTATTTTACAAGAAAAACTGTGTTTTATGATGTTTTTACCTATTAACTCTTTTGCAATTTAATCTTGTGGGAAATTTTTGTTGGTTACATCTTTGTAGTTATGGTTGTAGGTAGTGGAATTGTTGAATCCCTTAGCTCGGGAATACAAGTCTATTGGCAGCATGAAAAAAGAACTCGCGGAGTTGCAAGGAGAACTAGCACAAGCTCACAAACAGGTGGACAAAATTAGCATTTAAATGTTAATGAAACTGTGATTCTTATAATTTGATTAGAATGTGTATGCCTCAAAAAGATACATAAATAGATGGAACGATTCCCGGCTATCCAACTGATGAGATTTTTACCATTTCTTTTTCTACGGTACAATCTAAGATTTGAATTAATCACCTTATGCATGTATTACTCTTAACAAAAAAGGAAAAATTGTGTGAGGTCATGTCTTTGGTTTCATAATCGAATTTGATTCTGACTCAAGGAAATAATAACAGGTACATACATCGGAAGCAAGGGTTTCCGCTGCTTTGGATAAACTAGCATACATGGAGAAATTGGTTAATGGTAAGCTGTTGGAACATAAGACCAAAACAGAGTCCAGCGTAGCATCCCCTTCTTCGAGTATGTTAACACAATCTCTGGATACGGTGAAGGGGAAGTCTCCCCGAAAAAGCTTGGATGTGTCAGGTCCGGTTCAACCATATCATCCCCGCTTGAAGAATTTCTGGTATCCTGTTGCTTTCTCCACCGATCTGAAGGATGACACAATGGTAAGCTACACTCAGGAACTATGATATTGCTTATCATCTCAATACTGATCCGTTTATGTCATGTCACAGCATATTGGCATACATCCTCATTTTGTACCAGGTTTTATCGGGGCCGATCCTTTTATCTCGTAGGTCCCGTTTACAGATGTTTTCTTGCTAATGTCTTGTCCTTTCTCATTTCAGATTCCAATTGATTGCTTTGAGGAGCCGTGGGTTCTTTTTCGAGGAAAATATGGGAATCCAGGATGTGTCCGGAACACTTGTGCACATAGAGCGTGCCCTCTTCACCTTGGTTCGGTAAATGAGGGTCGTATCCAATGTCCCTACCATGGTTAGTAAAATTTTAGGAAGTTGCCAAGCGCCCACTATCGTACTTTTTTTTTCTTCTGAAAAAGTGATACATATCAATGAATGATTTATTTATGCTCGGGATAATATAAGGTCCTTCATTGTGTTTAACCAATAGTTATATAAAATATTCTATATATTAGGGTGGGAATACACAACCGATGGAAAATGTGAAAAAATGCCATCTACGCGATTAATTAATGTGAAAATAAGGTCCTTGCCGTGTCTTGAGCAAGAGGGAATGATCTGGGTTTGGCCTGGGGACGACCCACCTGTGGAAACTCTTCCTTCTTTACTACCTCCTTCTGGATTTGAAATTCATGCCGAGGTATGCTCTAGCTGTTTTCAAGGGCTATTCTGATTGCAAGTATCACGTAAACTTCGCTTAAATGGTAACGACTCTACAATCTCACCTCAATATTTTGGTTTGCTGATAATTGGCACAGATTGTCATTGAGCTTCCGGTTGAACATGGGTTACTGTTGGATAACCTTTTGGATCTTGCCCATGCGCCTTTTACACACACGTCCACTTTTGCCAAGGGATGGACTGTCCCCAGGTTTGTTTCTGCATTTAAATTGGCAGATATGTTTATAATCTTTTATGTTTTGGTGTAAGGCAAAAACACTTGTGTGTTAGTTTTTGGCACAACAAACAAATGGTAGTTTGGAAGATAATTTTTTTAAAACGGCTTGGAAAGGAAAAAATCACAATGATAAGATGCTAAGAGTGCGTTGTAGGTATCTATTTTGAATATGTAATCTGACCGTGCATTATCCGAAAATCTCAGTCTGGTGAAGTTTTTGACGCCTGCATCTGGTCTCCAAGGGTACTGGGACCCTTATCCCATTGACATGGAATTCCGACCACCATGTATGGTGCTATCGACCATTGGCATATCAAAACCTGGGAAATTGGAAGGACAGAGTACCAAAGAATGCGCAACTCACCTTCACCAGCTTCATGTTTGCTTACCGTCATCGAGAAATAAGACGAGACTATTATATAGAATGTCACTAGATTTTGCTCCCGTGTTGAAGCACATTCCTTTTATACACTATTTATGGAGGCATTTCGCGGAACAGGTAAAATCATATCCTACTTTAATGTTCTTTGTATGGTGGGTTGGTGAACACGTTCTTGAAATCCTCACTTGTATGTCCAGATGAGTTGCTGAACAGATTGGTGGTAGTATTCAATAGGCTGATCACTAATAATGCATACGATTTTTGTTAGCGAGTGCTTACAAGAAGTATGCGACAATGTCGTCTTTAATCACTGCTCCTACAAGTGTTATTAATTTATTTAATGCTTAATTAATACAGGTCTTGAACGAGGATCTGCGACTTGTGATCGGCCAGCAAGAACGAATGATTAATGGGGCAAACGTATGGAATTGGCCGGTAGCCTATGATAAGCTAGGAGTGAGGTACAGATTATGGAGAAATGCCGTTGAACAAGGATCTAAACAGTTACCGTTCAGCAAACCGATGTAAATTCGACTCTAGCAACTCATTTAATATCCCTTCTCACATTGTTCCCTGTCCTGACCGACTCTCGGACATAAGCACACTGAAGGCGATGAAAGGAGATTATGCGGAAACTGTGTATTGATCTGAGCCTGGTACTAGGTGGTGTTAACAAGTAAACGGTACACTGCTTCTATGTTTATAGTTTTTGTGTACGGTCAACAACCCCAGCTTCATTCTCTTCTAATAACCCAGTAGCAGCAAAGATCTTTGTACTGTAATACTAATAGCTGATGTTTTATGAAAAAGATTTGCACCGACTTCCTTTATGTTCTTGCAAAAACATCCTTATCGTTCTTGTCATCATTATCAATAGCATCATCGTCGTCGTCATCAACGTCACGTGCAAAGTTAGTGTGGTCGCTCTCTATTCTCCATGAAAAAGACAAGATACGAGGAAACGAAGGAACTCCAGAGGTGCACCCGTTCTGTCTGACCACGATAGATAATGGTTTCACTAAAACTTTCTAAAGTTACTCCTAAGCTGAGAAAGGTAACGGATCTCTAAAACTATATTACAAAGATTATATGGGATATGAGAAAAACATTGTCGTTCTAAACCATATTTGATGTTGTCGATTAATTCCAACATTAGAAATACTTTCGTCTTTAGGAAATAATCGCGTATTGAAAATTTAATTTTTGAAGTAATTTTTCTCATTTTACATCTTAAATTATTTTTTAACTATTATTTTTAATTCAGTTCATCCAAAAATTACCGACATCTAATAGTTGTTTTGAGAGTAAACTGGAATGAAAAATCAAATATGGTGTAAAGTGAGAAACATATTTTAGAAGTTAAATTGTGAATTAAGCTAAAAATAATCTTGAAAATTTGGGGTTTAGGTTCATGATTGAATTAGTTGAGTTATAAAAAAGTGGTGGCTAAGGAAGCGAGTAAAGTTCATATTCAAAGAGAGTGGCTGGTGTGTTAGTGGTGGTGAGTTTGTCTGTCAACTCTCAAACAAAGATAAAGGCGATTGTGCAGGGAATGTCTAAGAAAGGTAGATTAATATAAAGTTAAAAAATATTAGATTATGACGTGATCGAAAATTTAAAAAAACTTTAACAAAAGTGTTTGACTGCAACTGGAAATGTTGATTTATATGTAATTTATTAGATTATAACTATTTTAAAATGGCGTAACCGACAAATTTATATGATTAGTAAGTATCGATACTTTCGGATATTCACAACCACAGACCAGAAAAGAGAATGATTGATCCATTACTATGTTATGTTCTGTTAATCGAACTTAACGTTGAACTGATTCCAAATGCCGCTTTAAGAGTGAGGATTTAGGGTTGAGAAATTGGGGGTGATCGTTTTGACGTGGGTGAGTACACATTTTATGCTCATAAAACTATAAGAATTTCAGTAGCAATTGGATTTATTATAAAAAGTTATTAAATTTTTTGTCTCGATGTAACGTTTTAGGTTGTGCCTTGTTTTTATTTTAACTGGTTAAGTTATAAGGTCACAACATTTTATTTATGAAATACTATTAAAAAATCGATTTTGAATGTAACACAATAGGTTGTGTCTTGTTTTTATGTTAACCAATTAAGTTATAAGGCTACAATTAATATTATGAAAAAGTAACACAAATATGGTTTCGAGGGTAATGTAATAGGTTGTGCCTTATTTTTATGTTAAATCGGTTAAGTTATAAGGCTGCAACTATGTATATTACAAACAATAAATACAAATCCAATTTCGATGGTAGTGTAATAGGTTAGAGATCACGTGTAAATATATAGTGTTGTGGCACATAATTCTATGCAAGTATACACAATCAATGCAAGTAGTACATCAGTGAGTGAGTATCATCTCCACATGGATTGAAGGTATTTTAAAAGCAAGCTATAGCAAATAAGGGTTGTCATGAACTAAATCTAACTATATATTTACGATGGTATAAACAAATGAAAGTATAGCTGTAGCAGATGGTATTTATAAATGGTGATGGAATGATGCGTCAAGAATGGAGTGAAATTGTCGTGGTAAGAATTGATGAAATTGTAAAAGTGTGTTGAGACAAGAATTTAAATAAATTGCAAAATTATTCTAATGCAGGAAAATAAATTGAACTCTGGGAAATGATATAAGACTGACAACCTCACACAATTGAGCCCTTCTAGAGGTAAATGGTATATATTTTCTATGTCAATAATATTCTATGCTAAGGATGACCTTTGCATGAGTATGCTGCCCGACAGGATTTGCTAAAAATGCTCCTAAATTATCTCAAGCAAGGAACTTGATAAAACTAATGCTATACAATACCTCTCAGCGTAAACTGCAACACTAGCCTATCGACTAAGTCCTATCCCTTTTAGTAGAATGAAACCCTTTCCTTATCTCTAAGGCGGGTTAAAACCTCTCCATCCTGGTTTGACTCCCTTGCCCATGTAGATCTAACCTAGCTCTCTCAATACTAGGTATTTATACTTAGAAAATGACAAACTCTCAAAAGCTCTTACAAGACTAAGCATATTAAGCTATAGTAAACGATAATCTCTCAAAAGCTCTTACAATGTTATGACGCATAAAAGTAAAAACAGTGAGAAAAAAAACATAACCATCCATTAACTTAAAATAAAATCATCCAACACAAATCCAACACCAAATAAGATAATACATTGTGTGGCCAAGTTTATCCAAGAATATTGAAGTGTAGTACAAGCCCAAAAAGATAGAAAATAAAGCACAAGGAGAAGAAAAAATCCCAAATGATTTGCTGCCGTGACTTAGCTTCACCGCCATGTATCGCCCTAGCAAGCTAGCCTCTCTCGATGTTCAACTGCTACCTCCTTCAAGCTCGAATATGGAGGGCACCATGGAAAGGGGATGAAAAATGAAAAAGAAGAGGAAATATACAACTGCCTCTCTCTTAGGTCACCTCCCAAAAGCTCTTCAAAGTCTCTCAAAAGTCTCTTTAAAATGTAGGGCACCTTAGGTATTTATAGAGGGAATATTTCTAGGGTTTTGGGTCCAAAATTCCCTTTGTACCCTAGGTGACACATTTCTCACATGAATGGGTGGTTATTGTGGAAGATGGTCCCAAATTTTATAGCGGGGGTGGTGAGTCACATGTGGTTGGACAACTTAATAAAGATATTTTTGCTATTTTATCTTTTCTGCTCCAGATCTACTATCCATCTTTTGTTGTGGTAAGTCTTTCAGCTTTTCGTCTTCACAATGCTACAACAGTAATTTCTCCAACATGCTACATCATCCACATATTCTCTTTAAACTTTCATCGCCCGCACAACACCACAAAAACAAGACATTTCCCTCAGTAGCACCAGTTTCCAATAAATTTGTGCTACAACATGACTTTACCGCTAAATGCAACTATATGACATAAATGCACTCTAAATGCTATGATATGAAAAACAATAACCTAAGTGAAAAGGCACAAAACATAGCCTTTTTACGGGGTTATAACACCCTAAACTTAAGCTATTGCTTGTCCTCAAACAATGGATAATAATCAATAGAAAATAATGCTATGGCAGAAGATTAGTTAAGGAAGTAGTGTTGAGATAAAATTACAGCCCTCAGAAATAATTGGCTTCAACATGCTAGATAAATCAGGATTTCAAAAACTTTTCCCTAGAGCAAGATCTTTCGCATTGTGTGTCCGTGATTGTATTCAGTCCATGCTTAACGAAGTTAGAAAAATTCTAATCAAGTTCCCTATTCTGATTTAGCATTTGTTTACAATTAAGTACACATTTACTCTTATTAACTTAACATATATTTAATCTTTTTTTTTCATTGCTACGAGGGGAGTCAGCCTATCATAACTACCATCCCACACTCTAAATGAATTGGAGCCAATATTCCATCCTCGAGTTAGTCAGGCAGAGTCATTATGTGACTACTTTCATTCATTCGTATGCTATATCTATCATTTATTGAAACGTGGTATCCAAACACTGTTATATCAAAGAGGAATGTCCCTCTACAGTTATGCCAAAGTATTTATTTGCAATTTAACAAACTTTATAAACGTAAAGGAGTTTCATTCAAGCATTTATCCATTAAGTTCATTATTCACAAATTTATGTTGTAGCATGCAAGAGTTCTTTTATAAAAATCTCTAAGTCACTTATGCATATAAATCATACAATCGTGTATAAAAGGCTCACAAGACTCAAGCTCTAAATTCAATCCTATCAACCTTAATAGTCATGCACATTCATTTCACAGCCATGACAAAAATTTATCATCATCGGGCATCCTTAACTTATTTCAACAAAAATAAACTTAACCTAACTAAATGCCATAACATAATTCTACTAATAATATCGATACAAATGATTAACTATGGATAATACCCCTCCAAACTTGAAGGTTGCATTATCCTCAATGCATGAATACTAAATTAACTAAGCTACACTACATGAATGCAAAAGCTACGAGAGATACCTCATTGTGGTGGTGTCTTGTCCCCAGTACGCCTGATGTGTCTGTGCTTCGAAGTGGATTCTTCTAGCTCGATATACTGGGTAGTCTTGGTTGGGGTTGCAGCCTCAGATGCTGTAGTAGAAGTTTCATCTGCATGTCTGGTTGTCCTCTTCAAGCGATGTATGGTCAGGCGCGGTTCCACAGGCTGTGGTTACACAAGCGAGGGTGAGATTTCCTCAATGTCAGCAGCAAAGTCGGAAACTGCTTCTTCATTTGTCTTCTCAGCATCATCAGGATGGACATGACTTTATTACCCTGGAGAAAGAATCTCCTCATCCTCAGGATCAGACGAGGGGCATGTGTCAAGCGGTTCAATGTCATAGGGCCCATGGGCTCGGTAGCATTGTAGTGGTTATCCTTATCATATTGCTAGGCTTCAGTGGGTAGGGCATTCAATTGTTTGGTTTGGTGGTCTGCATCTTGCGGGGCTTGTCCAGGAAATGTCGCGACATTATTTTTTTCTCCAAAATTTATTTAGAGAAATGATGGAAATTGTCGGTGTTCAAAGGTAATATTTCCTTGAAAAATGAGGACATAATTGTATCCATTTGCCTCACATAACTGAAGAATGTATATATCTTGGTCTCCAGGTTCTCTACTCGCTTATTAGTTTCTCGTAAGGAGGTAAATATGGCCACCATTCTTGCCGCAACAATATTTTTTCCACCTTTTTTTAGGATCTCCTTAGGACCATATTCGTCAAATCCCATCAGCTCCGTAATCAACTTTGTAATTATGCCGGACTTCGTTTGGATGTTGGCTTCAAACATTTCCTCCACCACAT